GTCAATTATTTATTATTATTGTATCCTTTAGTTCCTAGAGGAACATAGGGCTTCAGCTGCGCACCTCCATTGCCTTCGGTTTCCTGACAACTTTTTCACCCTGCTCCAGGTCTGTCCACATGCTTTCATCTCCTCCTCGCATGACCTCCTCCAAGTCACCCTTGGACGACCAACTCGCCGCCTCCCTTTCGGGTTCCACTCGAGGGCTTGTCTAGTGATGTCACTTGATGGTTTCCTCAGCGTATGGCCAATCCATCTCCATTTCTTTCTGCCTATTTGTTTCACAATCGGTTCCTGATTGGTTCGCTCCCAGAGATCCCTGTTGCTGATCTTTTCTGGCCATCTGATCTTGAGTATTGAGCGGAGACAGCTGTTAATGAAGGTTTGAAGTTTGTTTGAGATGCTCTTTATGACTCGCCAAGTCTCTGATCCGTATAGTAGCACTGACTTCACATTGGAGTTGAAAATCCGGATCTTATTTTTGATGCTGAGTGCTGTTGACCTCCACACAGATTTGAGAGTAATGAAAGCTTGTCTTGCTTTTCCGATTCTGGCTTTGATGTCCTCGTCAGTTCCGCCTGTAGTTGAGACGATGCTTCCCAGGTAGGTGAAGGAGGTTGTTTCTTTCAGGTTCTTCCCATTTATGCTGATTGTTGTCTGTTGTTGTTGCTGTTGATGTTGGCTAGGAATCTTCATCATCTCTGTTTTATCTATGTTCACGTGAAGTCCTATCTTTGATGCTTCTTCTGCCAACTTGTTACTTTTCACTTGCATATCTTCCAGTTTATGGGAAATCAGACATATATCATCGGCGAAATCCAGATCCTCCAAGTCTTTTGTGTCAGTCCATTTTATGCCTGTTCCCTCGTTGGTTGCCGTTGTCTGTCGCATTATCCAATCAATTGCAATCAGGAAGATCATTGGTGATAGTAGACAGCCTTGCCTCACTCCCGTCCTCACTTCGAAGGCCTCCGTAAGTTTCCCGTTGTGGATTACTTGGCATGCAGCATTGTCGTATAACTGTTGGATGAGGTGTATAATTGTCGATGGGACCCCGTAGTAGCGAAGTAGTTGCCAAATCACCTCTCGATCGACGCTGTCGAAGGCCTTTTCAAAGTCGATGAAGTTGAGATAGAGAGGTGACTGCCATTCCAAGCTTTGTTCAATGATGATCCGTAGAGTGGCGATTTGATCAATACATGATTTGTTTCTCCTGAATCCGGCCTGTTCCGGACGAAGTTTTTCATCTAGGGCTTGTTTGATTCTCTCCAGGATGATGCGACTTAGTATCTTGCTTGGAATGGACAGAAGCATAATTCCACGCCAGTTTTTACATTGACTTAAGTCTCCTTTCTTTGGAAGTTTGAATAAGTATCCGTTCTTCCAATCCTCGGGTACTTTGCCCTCTTTCCACACCTTCTCCAGCAGTGGTGTCATCAAGTCCGCTGTTGTCTCTGGGTCTATTTTCAAAGCTTCTGCTGGGATTCCATCTGGTCCCGGTGTTTTCCCAGCTTTAAGCATCTTGATTGCATTCAGGACTTCTGATTTCGTCGGGGGGTCAGTGTTCACTGGTAGTTCTGCTTCCGTTGTTGGTATTGTTGGGCGCGTTGTAGGTGGCGGACGATTTAGAAGTCTTTTGAAGTGTTCAGCCCAGTGCTTTCTCTGTTCCACCTCTTTGGTGATTGACTTTCCATTGTCGTCCTTTATTGGCTTAATCTGTGTCGAACGTTTGCCCGAAAGGTTCCTAGTTGTTTGGTAGAGTGTGGCGAGGTCTCCTTTGCCTGCAGCTTGTTCTGCTTCGTTTGCCATGGTTTCATAATATTTTCTTTTGTCTTCCCTGGCACTCTTCTTCACTCTTTTGTTCAGTGTATTGTAGCTTGCATTCAGCTCCTGTTTTTGTTGCTCGTCAGTGCACTGGATAATCTTTTGTTTCACTGTCCTTCTCTCTTCTATTAGTTTCCAAGTGTCCGTAGTGAGCCACTGTTTGTCCTGTCTCTTTTTTCTGCCTAGAATTTCTATGCAGGTTTGGCTCCACAGCGTTTTCAAGTTGTTCCAGTGCTTTTCGACGCTGACCTTTTCGCTGGTGTTGATTTGTATCTCAGCTTTGTCCTTTATGCTTGCAATGAAGATGTCCTTTGTAGCCTGGTCCTTCAGCTTTTGAGTGTTGAACTTGGCTTGTGGTCTATCTGCAGCTCCTGATTCCCTGAAAGCTTTTAATTTGATTTGGATTGTCCCTTGTACGAGATAGTGGTCTGAGCCAACGTCTGCTCCTCTTCTTGCTTTTGTGTCCAGTAAACTGCGCCTCCACTTCCTTGAGATTGAGATGAAGTCGATTTGGTTTTTGGTTTGCCCGTCTGGTGACACCCATGTAGCCTTGTGGATATCTTTGTGCTTGTATACACTGCCACCAATCACTAGTTCGTTGAAGGCGCAGAAGTCGGCGAAGAGTTCTCCATTTTCATTCATTTCTCCTAGAGCTTCTCTACCCATGATGAGTTCCCTTCCTGAGTTGTCTGGTCCCAGTTTGGCGTTCATGTCTCCCATTAGTATTTTCATGTCGCCAGCTGGAGTATTGTCCATTGTTGCCTGTAGTTGTCTGTAGAATTCTTCTTTCTTTTCGAGGTCTGCGTTGTTTGTGGGTGCATAACATTGTATGATTGACACTTTCCTTCCTTTGGAGTTGAATCTGGCGGTCATTATCCTGGACGAAATCGCCTCCCATTGTATCAGGGCTTTCGTTGCCGTTGGTGACATCATGATAGCCACGCCCTCGGTGTGCGTGTGGTTATCTTCTGGGTGACCGGAGTAGATCACTGACTCTCCCGTTGACAATTTGGTGAGTCCACTCCCATTCCATCTGCTTTCACATATTCCTAGCACTTGTATTCCGTATCTTTTCATCTCGTTGGCGATCTGGGCAGCTTTCCCTGTCTCGTACATAGTTCGGACGTTCCATGTTCCCACACAGACTTTTTCTTTTGGTGCAAAGAGGTTCATTTTGCTGAAGGTTCTGTAGCAGCTTTGTTTACAGGGTGGGGTTGCTAGCCTCACGCCTGAGAAAGGAATGATTACATTAAGTTAAGTTTAGAGAGAAGCAACTTTTTGGGTTGCTCCCCTCAAAATCAGAAAATAACACACAAACAATGAGAACAACATCAACAAAGGAAACAGTTCACAGAAAAAAAGGGCAAAAAGCGGCGACAACTATACAATAAGACAACATGCAATATAGTTCAGCACAGTCAACTAAAATGATATCTTAACCATAAACTCACTGACTTGGAGCAACTTGAACATATAAATCCAACAATATATACAATTATAGATGTGTTTATGTTTAAAAAGTCCACAAATCCAATTAGTTAGTTATATGTATTATCTGTCAATAAGATTGTGTTTTTCGGATTCAGTGTTCGAAAGGTTAATAATTGTGATAGTTTCCGCAAATTCTTGGGATAAAATTTTATAGAAATAAGAGTTTTTATTAATAAGCAAAATGTAGCGTAGTAGTCGAAAAGCGCGCGATATAGTCACTAGTCTAGACTTTTTACCCTTGATCTTAAATTTGTTCTTGAGAATGTTATTCTTCTCCATCTCACTTCCTATTGCTATTTTCAATGGCTTTCGGGGACTTTCAACGTCATTTGCACTCCTTTTCGCGATTCTGATGATCATTCCTATATGAAACCCATTCGTTTTTTCGGTTAGTTTACTAATAATAGAGATATCTCCCTGGAGATTTTGTAGTCGCCGAAAAGTAGGATTTACCTTTTGGTTCTACAGAGTTCCAAATAATGGCTGTAGAGAGCTTGTTATTAGAGTCCGCAGTCTTTTCCTCTTTGTGGTTTCTCAACTTTTTAATTTTCGTTACTGCCTAAGTAGAGGTAGTTTCATCAAACGTGCTCCTGCCTCAACCATAAGCCACCCGTTCACTCGACACGCTATGCTTCGTCCTAATAGTTTGAACACCTGGTCTTAGAATGCCAGCACTACTTGCTCTCTTAGGTTTTCGCGGCTGGGCATGTGTCCCTGCAGCCGATTTCTGGGCACCCTGTGCCTATTCTGCGTCTGACATATCAGGATCTAGTTCCATCTAAGTTTTATGACCCAGTCCAGGATTTTGATTCTTCACATCGATTTCAGATGCTGGCTTGTTTTTCTCACCAAAAGTAATAGTCAAGTTCTTGGGCATAAGAAGTCTCACGGCCTCTTTAATGAGAATATTCAACGAATTGCTAGAAAATTTGTACACGCACTAAGCTAGCTGCTTACTACATCTCCTACAGGGCAGCGATGAGAAACGAGTGGGAACTTTATGGAAATATGGGCTGTGGCTATCACACTGCATCCCAACATACAATGGCAAGTGTCAGTCAGGCCCTACACAGTTACTGGTGGGACTTTTCTCGGCACAAGTTATTTAAATTACACAGACAAAAATATATGGGCATACTAAAGCACAGAATGATGGAAGGATCTCGCAAAGTCACGAAAGAGCTAACGAAAAGCAATTCTGCAACTAATTAAACCAGTTAAAAAGAACCACAGAGGCTTTTGGTGGGACCAACACTGTGCGTCGGTGGCACAGTGGTTAGGACTCTCGCCGACCATGCACATGGTCCTAGGTTCGATTCCCCGCCGACGCAAACCTGATATCTATGGTCGGCCTGCAAAATTTGGGCTACCAATATCCGTGCTGAAAATTCCATACTTGTACCAAAAATACGGTGTGGAATCAAGCTGCAATCAAAAGTAAAATAAACAAAAGTAGTTACTTAACGACGCAAAAATGCCACCCTCCTTTTTCAAGTGTTGTTATATTCTCAGGGTAGAATATTCGCCTTCACTACCACGACCCAAGATATATAATTATTAAAAAGGTATCAACACGGGCTCGAAGTCTTCTATCATCGATCGAAAGTCTCAATCCTTATAATATTGTCAGTTTCGAATTAGAACTCTCATTCCCTTCACATTTTTGAAACCCATGGGAAACACCACATTTTCTGCCAACGAAACATTTTCGTTCGTCTTATATGTGCAAATTAAACATCTCTCAACTTCATTTAAATCTTTCACATTAGGCTTAAAATTTTGAATATTGGACGTTGTATATGACCTGCAGCCATGTGTCCTTGCCACGAGTCTGAGTTGTATAAACATGACCAACTTTAACTCCTGGGAAGAATTTGCTAAGGCGGCTGAAAATCTTTACCTTGAAGATCCGTCTAAAGTAAATTAGTGCTAAATGCTTATTTATTTGTAGTGCCGTATGTGTACAAAGTACCGACATGTAGATCGAAAGCTAGTAGTAAAATTAACGGACGATCATACAGTAAGTAATTCTATTGAAAAATATGTTAGAAGGTGTTAAAGTACGTAACTAATATGGCTCAGGATGTTAAAAAAGTTGAGAAACTGACCTCCCTGCTCATGCGTCACATGGCTTCCAAGGAGAAGTGACTGAACTGTGATTATCATACAGAATGACCGAGATCGCTCATTTGTGCTCTCTATTTTCATTATCTTTTAATTTGTACATACTTTATTGGTCTTCATTTATACCTGGCATATGTATTTTTGGTTTTAAAGCTTTGTAAAAATAGCATAATCATAGGCTCACATACTGACTTTTGATTTCTGAAATCCTATTTATCGCATATGCCTCATGTAGACATAATTATCACTAAACATTAAAACGTTTAAGTAAAATTTCAAGTGTACACATATATGCTTGCTGTCATTTCCTCACAGGAGCAAAATACACATTAGGGCTCTAATCCACGTAGATTTTTAGTGAAAGTTGTTTCCCGTGTGATGTTAACGACAGTGCATGTTGTTTTACTTAGAGTAAATGGCGTTCCTCATAAGAGGACCCTCGATTACTTTTTCAGAATGACCGCACACATGCTATCCGCGAGATATCGTGCTTTTGTTATGAGACAATGGAACACATTTTATAGTGACTTACTAAGTGATCCTAAAAGTAATTCACTGTAGTAATGTTTTGCCATTTCCAAACAAAACTCACCTTTGCCCCAAAATATGTCTTAACAACAGTTAATTAAAAGTTAACGCAGTTCTATTTTCTTATATAAGGAATTTATTGGAAGTTGCCATTGGCAAACTAATAAGAGACTGAATGATGCAGTAATGTCAACAAGGGGATGTTTTCTACCTCTAGATTAACTTGATGTTTAAACTGGTGTATTTTATATTCCAGATTATGGAAATCACTCTCCCCAATTTTTGATTCCTCCGTACATTTCGGCTCATTATATTCCTGTTACTTCTTTCTTCATTACATTTGTGTCTTCTTCTGTTACTTACTTTTACTTTACTTCGGCTATCTCCTACGGGAGGATGAGCCGGCTTCATGAACGTCTCGAATCATCGCTGCCCAGGCGCGGCAATTTGTAAGAGAGTTCATGAAGTTTCTTCTGTTCACCACCCACCTTTATCTACGCCACCAAGGTCATCTTGCTTTCCTCCTATTGTTAAAACCATTCTACAGATAGGTCCCCCTGTGACTAATAATGCCGACAACAGCCCGGAAAAACACTGCTGATGGTCTTGAAAGACACGCAGCTAACTTCATATTGCAGCATTTAACGTCAGGACCCTTTACCAAATCGGACAACAGGCATCACTAGCCAAAACCTGGCATCTGGAGCTATGGATGTATTCTGTTTCAGTGACACATACAAAACTCAATTGTGGTATTCATTCAATCCCATTTGCCCAAAAGGATGAATCAGCAAAAGTCACGGGTGTCAAGAGATTCTTCGGCTAGTTCGTGATGGCTTGCAAGTGTAAGGATAGCACCGAGTGCTAGGGCATATAAATGCCCTACTCTGCTGCATCCTAATGGGTTGTCCGTATGTTTGCCGTTTGTCTGAACTGATCCGTTAGAAGAGTGAAAGACTACGTTACCCATCGATATCCTTTCATAACCTTCGTCTACGCTGTAGTCGACTGGAATCCGGACGAAATAAAGGGTGACATCTAACAAAAGTCCCCGTTTTGCTGCTAAAAGCAAGACGCTCAGATGTAATCTTTTTAGCAGGTGATTTCAAAATTCAATTAGGGAAGTTGTCAGTCTGGGTTGGTGGCACGTGTGGTGTTGCTTGCCGAAGAACCGATAACGGTGATCGTTTTCTGCAATTCGGTTCCTTGTCAGTACTAGCTTCAACGATGGACCCAAGTAGACGACATAGTGGTAAGTTGTCTTTGGTGAGGGTCAGTCGAAAACTGCCGCTGTTTCAGCGACATCTGCATAGGGTCCGATCGCACTATGGTCCGTGCACGTTGATGCTGATGATTAAATGGATATAAAAAACAGACGTAAATGAAGCCGTTACACCTTCAAATTCGTCAGGATACTGAGTCGCTATTTAGAGGAGAATTACCTAAACGACTATCTGAGATTGACGGTAAGAATCATCCTGAGGAAGCCCGGCATAGTATACAGTCAGCTGTAGATTTTCGGATTGTGAGGGCTGTTGATAACCTAAAGCCAAAGGTTATTAAAAGCCAGTGGATACCTGCGACATCATCCAAAGTGATAGACAGAAGAAGACTGATTGTAGCGAACTCTGAATAGGATAGGAGAAAGCTGACAAAAAGTTTCCACACTCTCAGTGAAAAGTGTTGGGCGACAATGATAAGGGAGATGAAGAAGGCATCGGTGACAGGTAACTACTTAGGCTTGTCAAGGAAACAAACAAAAAAAAGGCAAAAGGTAAGTAAGACAACCTCGAAAAAAAGGGGTAACCTAATTGGTTCTTAGGACAGACTAACAGAACTTTGCGAGAAATATCTTGAGGAGCGCTTTAACTCACCCGCAACAACCCTCAACTTCTTCACTATCCAACACCCATCTGAATAGGATGTAGACATCGGTTCTCCATCTGTAACTGAGGTTACAAGGCTACCTGTAATTTGAAACGAGGCAAAGCAGCAGGGCCTTATGAAATGATTCCAGAGGCGTTTAAAGACAATAATGGCCGATTGCTGTCCAGGTTAATTAAGGCATTAGGCTATGTCCGGAAGGCATAGATAGCTTTTTTCCGAGTGGTAAAGGTCGTTTATTATCCAAGTTTATCAAAAGAGAAACAACTCTCCCTGTGATAATCATAGTGGAAGTAGCTTAACTAATGCGGTATCTAAAGTTTTAGGCTCATTATTCATGTATAGAATAAATGGGGCTCAGCAGAAGCAAACCAGGTGAGATTTAAATCAGGTTTAAGACATACCATATATTCACCCTTCGATAGATTGTGAAACACAGGAATATTCACCTGCGTCCAGAAATTGCTGTATTTCTTGACCTAAATGCGCAGTTAGTCACCGTCAACTGACAGGTACTGTTGAGATGTTTGTCTGCGAAGGGAATCCCCAGAAGGCACATTGCACTAATCAAGATTCTACTCGAACTCACCCAGCCATCTAGAAGATTACGGGGAGTTGTCGTCTGAAGTGATGACAACCGGTGGTGTCCATCAGGGATGCTCACTGTCCCACTTCTGTTTAATTTCATCATCGATGTAATAATGGAATTAACCCTAACTGACTATGTGAAATAGGAAATGAATTATTAGCAGGAAGTTGTCTTGTTAACTTAGACTCTGATAAGCTTCAGTGTTTTGTGAACCGCACTGAACAGCATTTGTCAAATGTTTGGTATGCGATTTACTCCTGTCAAATGCAAGATGATGTTAGAGTACTGGACTACACCGACTTTTAGAGTTAAGAGAAGAGGGGAAGTGGTAGAGCGTGACTGTTTGACTGCTTCTCACTGACTGGTTTCAACATAGAACACTTCCAAAGGCATACGAAGCCTTCCTGAACATCATTCTCTTTCTGTTGACTGCTTCACTCACTTATGAAATCTCTTGAGTTATGACAGACTGATTGCTGACGAAATCTCAGCACGGATACAAAAGGCTTGTGTGGCATTTTTCAACTTACTCCATCTCTGGCGTAGACATGACATATCCGACTGTCAGTCGACCGAACGACGTGTGTACTGCTCATCAGTTCTCTGAGTACTCCTCTATAGATGAGACATGGTCATTGAGTGTGGAAGAGATGAAAAGGCTAGCTGTCTTTGATCATAGGTGGCTGAGTCCTGTCAGCCGTCCTAATAAGTGGTATAATGTGTTGAGCAATATTCAGGTAAGGCGTTAGTAGAGTGTTAGGTAAGGAGGGGAAGTTAGTGAATGGAGTTGTGCAGCCACGTCGACTGAGATAACCAGGATATGATATGCACACCTGGTTATCGTGGAAGCACGACTAGCGATGTTACCTAACATACTTCAGGTTGGGAAACGGCTAATGGTGGTCAAATTACAACTGGGAATCAATCCATCAAACCATGGATAGTTAGTTTGATCCACATAGAGGGAAGTAGACTACCTGGTTTGGCTCCTGGGTGTGGTGAGAACCAATAGCTGGAGACAACTGGTGGTGTGGCTCTACGTCGTACTCGATCGCACAGATGCACTCACCTCACCCTTTGTGATCTCCCGTATCCATTAAACCCTATTGTTTTTCCATGTTACTATTCTTTCTCCTTCACATTCTGTATATTATCGTTCTTTCCAATCGCTCCCTCTCTCTCTCTACTCTCTTCTGGTGCTTATTTATTATCCCTTTGAATCTAATTTTTCTCTGTTTTGTGTGCCTTTGTGTAGTACATGGAGTGTGTCAACTGGAAGTGCTGCACTTTTGTGCGAAGTTCTGTGTTGAAATCAGTCAGTCAGAAGGGATTTCTGAAATGAGTAACAGGAGGTTAGTCATGAGTAGAAGTGGTTATATAATTGTAACAGTTACGTTTACTCAATCAACAAGCAGGCAGTGTAGACGAAGATCTGTGTTGAAACCAGTCAGTCAATGCTATGCATAGGGACGGGAAGGCCGTCAAGCGGGTTAGTTGTGTGCCTATAACACAAATTCATGGCAACACTTAGTTGTAGTCATCTTACAGAGTGGTCAGCTTACCTCTTATTGGAAAATACCTTCTTGTTTTACTTCAGAAAGGATGAAGTGCGATTTCGTGAGAGAGTGCTTCCATAAGTATAAAACTTCGGCGCTGGGGTACATTATAACTCCACAATGGAAAAGATTTTATTTTGGTAAAATTTTACTTTATTTTACTCATGTATATAAGTGAAGCAAAAAAGTTGTGTGAGTTACTTGATATGATTATGAGCAATAATTTGTGCTCGAAACGTCATCCACTATTACCACTGTATAAGACTGTGTGATTTATCAAAATAAAGTCTTATCCATAATAGTGCTTCCATAACTTATTAGTATACCTTAATTGTAATTTTATTCAACACTCACCTTATACGGGAAAACATGAGTTATTCTTCACTTTTAACCAGGAAATAAACATGTTTCAGGATTTCATCATGAGCTGACATTAGTTAGAGAACCATTGGAAAACCTGGTAGTACTGGACAGCTGTTTCGTCCTTGTTTGGGACTCTTCCTCAGTACGCACCCACCGGGATTCGAACCCAGGACGTTTCGGTTACAAGGCGAGCTCGTATACCATTAATGTCAGGTCATGATGAAATCCTGAAACAAATCAAATCCCTACAGACCATCAGCTGAAATAAACATATGTTATATCCTTGCTATCATTTATTCTAGTCTACATTATTAGAATTATTATTAAGTTCATATGACTATTTGT